TTGCGACACACAATTTACTCTCAATTGCGCTATTCAATGTTGGTAGGGGGGGTGGGGTCAGGTCTTATTTTATTTTTTATTTTTTTGCTTCATATGGTAGCCATTATTGCTGCATTGCAGAATGCAGATATTTAAGATATCAAAGTGAGATATTATTATTGGTATTTCTCCGTTCCTGTCAGTTTATTTGGAATGCCAGATGACGATGTGATCAAAATGTACAGATTTTCAAGCCTGTAGCTGTCCTAGCCCACCCCCACCCACACATAAAACATATTAAGGATTGTACATTGACATATTTTATTGTAAGAACTGAACCATACTGAATTTAACAAGAGAAACAAACACACACACACACACACGCACGCACACACACACACACACGCACACACACACACACATATATGAAGAGAGAGAGAGAGTATTCATAGTATGCAAACGGCTAACAAACAGCCATCACAATGAGAACTGCACAAATCAACAACTGACAATGATTAATTAATATTGTGCTGAACACAGTCCAAAAGATTCAATAAGCTACATCAGTGTCTACTGTTTAACAAACGTTCTAAAAAACATAAACTGAAGTTTTCACTATCCCTATTAATGAATGTTATCTTGTTGTATCTGTTGTGTCCACTGCTATCTTCTATGCTGTTGCATGCTGGGGCAGCAGGTTGAGGGTCATAGATGCCAACAGACTAAATAAACTGATCCACAAGGCCAGTAATGGTGTGGGGATGGCGAGAGTGAGATTGCCAAAAAGCACCACTGAACGACACAGGAAATCATTCCTGCCTGTGGCCATCTCCCTGTGCAACTCCATCTAACACACTGTAATAGTTACACCCTTTTTATACACGCTCTTTTCTACTCTGTAATATTCTTGTCCATTTTCTTAATATTTCTTTATAATCACCTCCGTTAATCCTTGATATTCATAACTGAGTGATCTGTATATATTAGTGCTATTTCTTAAATGTGTCAAATCTGTAACATACTGTATTGTTTGGAGTTTAGTCTGTTAGTGTTATTTTTACAATTTCTTCTTGGAGCAACTGTGACCCACATAATTTCCTTAGGGATTAATAAAGTATTCTGATTCTGATTGTTTCAGGATGACCCTCCATTATGACACATCTGCTTACCTGTATCTTTTGCTCTTTTCTCCTCCTTTTCTCTTTTTTTCTAAACTGAGCACCTGATGGCTTTGAACTTTTCTTGTCCATCTTCCATTTGTTTTTTTGCACTACAGTATGAACACTCATCCCCCAACCGGAGGATCACCACAACATAACCTAAAGTTCACAGATTCACTTTCTCTAAGGTGTATTTCTGGGATTTCACATAACCCAGGATTCAAATCATGAATTAATAATGGGCTTGGATTTACAATATTAATAAATGAATGAATGAAATGTGCTCTATTTGGAAGCAGCCAATTTAAAATTATAAATTTTAAATTGTTATTGATCCCTTTATCCCTAGTCATAAAGTATGTATTTATTTTCTTACTCTTCTTATTTTTATTGTTTGTTTACTTGCACTGTTGTAATTGGAGCCTCGTCGTTTCGTCTGTCTATATACTGGACTGTATGTAGCGGAGATGACAATAAGGTTTACTTTGACTTCAGCAGAGAGCAGGCGCACCGAGGGCTCTCGCGCTCACTTTTCACGTATACAGGGAGTGCAGAATTATTAGGCAAATGAGTATTTTGTCCACATCATCCTCTTCATGTATGTTGTCTTACTCCAAGCTGTATAGGCTCGAAAGCCTACTACCAATTAAGCATATTAGGTGATGTGCAACTCTGTAATGAGAAGGGGTGTGGTCTAATGACATCAATACCCTATATCAGGTGTGCATAATAATTAGGCAACGTCCTTTCCTTTGGCAAAATGGGTCAAAAGAAGGACTTGACAGGCTCAGAAAAGTCAAAAATAGTGAGATATCTTGCAG